TTCACCAGGGCCACTTAATGGGATGGTGTCGCAACATCATATTATAACCGATTTAGAAAGTCATTTGCCTTTATTCACAATAGAGTTAATTTCAGAAATTATTGTCAAAACAGTAGTAAAGCACTATGGGACAACTGCCAGCCAGTAATATTTCCATTATATGCCAGTTCCACTGAAGGTGATCTCCTGGAAAAAGTCAGGAGGTTTTCTTACTTACATTTGTAGACACTTCATCCGATTCTGTGTCTGTGTACAAATGTGGATGTGAGCTCAGGCAGAGGATTTAAGCAACCGATATGGAAATAGAGGATGGAGGCTTAGCGATGCAAACCTTAAGCCCACCCCCAGTGCACTTCTGTGTATCTGACTTCAGTGACCGCAGCCCTGCAGAGCACATATCTTTGCCTCAATATGTATGGAAATGAGAGGCAATCGTGCTAACGTGTGTTCAGTGTCTTCAAACATGCTAATGGTGCCAATGTCCTCCACCCACAGCCTAACATTTCACCTTTTCCTCACACCTTTTGGTTTACTCTCTGTCTCTTCTGACCTGGAACAGGTATGTTTTTAATTATGCGTAAAAATACACGTAAGACTAGCCCAGTCCACTCGTCTGAGCTTCTCCTGCAGTGTGCAGGAAGAAAATCTTCTGCTCTTTCTCCTTCCTTCACTGACTCTACCCCCAAAACCTCCCTCTCTTCCTTTAGAAGTCAGGGATTGAAGGACTCGATTTCAAAACTGTGCACGTCTCAGTGACTCAAGTGAGGTTTTTGTTCCGCTGCCACACTTCCGTTCACAAATGCTCCAGCGTAGGGAGGAGGGAGAAATCCCTGTTAATCTAGTGAATCTGGCTCTCTAGGTCTTTTTTGTTCACTGTTGCTGAGATCCTGACGCATTGATCTCTTAGGAGGCATGTAGGGTGTGTGGTTGGATGAACTGAAAAGTTGCTAGAGGGAGTCTGACGTCCAACTGTAGACATAATCTCTTTTTTTAAAAAAGCTGTCTTTATTCACTTAAGAGATTGCAGATGATCAACAGTTTGCACTGACCTCTTTGAATTTATAATGATGCATTGGTATAAATAATTACTTGTGTTAAGATTAAAAAGAAATCCTGAAAATGCATGCAAAGACCATTGCAACTTAGATTTCTGGAAGATGTGGCCCACGCGCCTATCGACACACTGAAGAGCTATTTTTATTGGTAGAAATCCAGGACAACATTGTGTCATGGTGTTATATTTAGCAGGTAATTTAATGCTCTAATTTCACTGTAGCTAAATTGAGGGCATAATGCAAATCATTGTATTTAGTGCTAATATAGACATAGAAAAACTGTTGCACTGGCACCTGTGCAGTCTGCATTGATAATCACATCAGCTTCTTTGCATTAATATCTGTTTGAATGTTATATATAGATATACCCCTTTGGGAACTTATGCATCAAAACGTGTTGAAATCCAGGTTCTTGTCTCCCTGAAGTACTTTTACTATGCGCTTGGCCTGCACCAGTGGTATTGCCAAGGGCTGCTTGTTTTGTTGATCTGTGTTTAATGAAAGTGACCACGCACAGAGCAGATTCGGCCATTAGCTCAGCAAGAGCCTGTAATCACTACAAGTTGTTTCCTTTTTTTCTCACAGTTCATTATTGAACAAACATTCTGTGGGGGGGAGACATGTGCTTCTGCCACTTCCTTCTCCCTCTTTTTATTCCCTTTGCAGTGTTGCACTTTCGAAGCTATCGATTTGGTGGCTTGAAAATAACAAACGACAGCTATGTGAGTGGGACAACAAACAACCTCAGAAAATACAATATAAAAGGCATCTGTGAAGTATGTGCCTTGAAGTAATTATTAGCTACTGTATATGCTTAAATTTAATCAGCCAGAGCTGATTGCTTTTGCTGTTGTGTGCTGCCCTCAGTCTTCTGTGAGGAAGAAAGAGTACCTGGATATGGCAGTGTCCAAGGCTATGTCACAGAGTGCCGCATATTTGGTTTTGTAGCAGGGTTGAAAAGACCTTCAAACTCAGTGGGGTGAATGTGACTCATCTAAAGACCTTGCCAAACTCTGTGTTGACATGGAGGCAAAGAGTACTACATGCACTCACTTGAAAAAAAGCTCAATATATTCTCTATGTACACACACTCTTGATTCAAATCAATAAATGTACATTTATGGTGTGGTCAAGTTTAGTTGCACCATCATAATGCTCCTCAACGTTTGAAGCCTCAAACCCACCACTGCTCTTATTAATTCACTGGATATTTTCATCAGCACAAAGAAGTTTGTGCTATGTCCTTTTTTCTCCAGGTAGTTTTTAAATTGATAAACACATTCAGAGACATACTGAATGTAACGTCCCCATCAATCACTCACATAGGTACACAGACACTCAAGGCCTGTCTGTTTCTATTAATGGTAATCAGCTGGGTAATGATGACAGAGCTGCGACTGTGGCTTACTTACTGGTGGCTGATGGCCATGCTCTCTGACAGCTGTCAGCCGCCATGACTACACTGCCAGGGCCCTCCTTAGGACTTATTTCAGCTCAGTACATCAGCTGCAGCAGCACTTCACACACAGACTTGTTGATTATCAGCATCAGTGGGCCAGCGTGGAAAGACTTCTCTGACCGCCTGTCTGCTAATGACAGCCACCATGATGGTGGATGGGAGAAAGAGGACACAGCCTGTCACTTTGATTCATGCAATAGCAGATCCAACTGGATGGCTTCTCGCCAAAGTCTCGACAGTCGTTATATCCCCTCCTAAATGACATTTAAAGTGTGAAGCAGTGCCTGTCCTTGTGGCTCAGTCACCCCAGGCCAGGCCCCGGACACGAATCCCGAACCCTGTGCCAAGTTTTGAAGTAAGGTCACAAACCCCACAGTCAATTCTTCTCCTAGATGCCTGAACTCAGCTCATTGGCATTATTGAACGACCTTGAAGACAGATGCTTAGAGTACATTACTTAGTTTGTTAGATTTTTGTCTTGTAGTCCTCATATTTTTTTTTATTCTTTTGCTTTCCTATTTTAATCTATTTTATTATTGTACCTATGTCCACCTAAAAATTTGAACAAATACAACAAAAAGCAAATGTAAGGTGAAGTATGCATGTCTGCTATTGCTTTGCAAATAAACAGGATAACACGCAATCGCTGAATTATTTCAAATGCTCTGTCCTGAGTTTGGCTAAAACCTAAACAGAAAATAGATGTTAGAATTGGTCATTCTGGCTAATTCTGTCACTGATATTTAAGAAATGGGAAACTTCTGTCCGTATATATTTGTTTCTGCACATTACCACTATGAATTTTAAATGTAAGTGCAGACTTTCAGCTGTAATTCAGTGGGTTTAACAAAAAGATTGGATAAAAATCAGAGGAACTAGAGAATTGTTTAATACAATCCCTTCATTTCAGTGGCTCAAAAGTAATTGGACAAATTATGTAACGGAAAATACTCATTTAGGGCATCTTTTGACTCAGCTTTTTGAGTTGGGTTTTTTTTGGTGACTTTTGTATTATTAGGGTGGTTAAGTTCCAGTCCTACAGTTAGACTCAAGTTTAGTTGTTTCTATGTTTCTGAGTTTCTTGCTCCCCAGTTTGTAGTTTCCTCTCTGTTAGGTTTTTCTGTCTCCATGTTTGTATCTCTCTCCGTGTCTCTCGCTCGCTCTCTCGCTCACTAACCTTTTTCCCCGGTTCCTCTCCTTGTGTCTCATCTTTTGCCTCCTTGCTTGTTTGTCCCCTTTGCTGTGTGTTAGGTCTGTATCTCAGTGTTTCTTGTTTTATCTCTCATCCTGTGTTCAGTGTGTTACGTTTTGCTTCCCCGTCTCGTCGCATCCAATTCACTGCAGTTTCACTGTTTCCACTCTTGTCATGCCTCAGTGTATTTATTGTCTGTCTTTCTCAGTCCTTTGTCGGTGCGTCTGCAAATCTCCTGCTAAATCCTCCTTGTGTTTCCACATTTCCTCGTTAAAATCCGGTCGGTGGGTCGGTGGGTCGGTCGGTGGGTCGGTGGGTCGGTCTTTCTGTCTTTCTTTCTTTCTTTCTTTCTTTCTTTCTATGTACCAGACTGTAGATTTTTTCCACTCCTACTATTGTGGCAATTTCTTGGATGTTTTTTTTTCTGTTTTCTCAGCTTAAGTATAGCTTGTTTCACCTGCATGGAGAGCTCCTTTGACCGCATGTTGTCTTTCACAGCAAAATCTTCCAAATCCAAGCACCACACCTCAAATAAATTCCAGGCTTTTTATCTGCTTAACTGATAATGACATACATGTAACAAATTAATTGCCCAAACCTGCCTATAAAATAGCCTTTGACTCAATTGTCCAATTACTTTTGGTCCCTTTAAAAAGAGGGTGGCACATGTTAAGGAGCTGAAACTCCTCAACCCTTTGTCCAGTTTAAATGTGGAAACCCCCAAATAAAAGTTGAGAGTCTACACATTATGTCCATGTCTATTATATATATATATATATAATAGACAATTGTAGTTATAACTACAATTGGAACATGTTTCAGTAAACATGTAAAAAAAACTAAACTTGTGTCATTGTCCAAATATATATAATAATAACGAATATACTGAACTGCAAAATAGGCAATGTTAACATCAATTATATTTCTGTCAAATTACAATTTGTTACAGACACTAAACATGAGGTTTTTGAACTAATAACAGTTTCTGGAAGACGCTAAAATGGATGTTCTTGCAGAAATTCAGTGTTATCTTTTTTCTTGATCAATTAGATATTATGTGATGAATTTTAGCCTGAGAACATGCAGCCACTATAAACACAGAACTGTGATAACCTTGTGCCTTTTGCCTTTACACTAACTTGTTTACTGAATTAATTTTACATTCGCCATGAGAAGCACAAGTTGTTTTTCTTCTTTTTTTCCCCCTAGAAATGTGTTGTTAGTGTTTTCATCTATGCAACATGTACACACTTAAATGGCACACTAACACTTATTTCCATACCTCTATCCACAGTCTATCAGGGAAGTGACAGGCTATGTGTTGGTGGCTCTGAACCAGTTTGACTACCTGCCATTAGAGAACTTGAGAATCATCCGAGGAACCAAGCTATACGAGGACCGCTACTCCCTTGCAATCTTCCTCAATTACAGACGTGATGGAAACTTTGGCCTGCGCCAGTTGGGTCTAAAAAATCTCACAGGCAAGTTGAATTATTTTTTGGTTACTTACATTTTTTTATGTTAATGGACATGTAATGAGTAAAAAAACAAAAACAATCCAGCTTCAAAAATCCTGTAATATCAATTTTTACAATTCAGAGTTGAGTTAGAAGGATCACATTAAAATCAGCTGTGTGTATTAAGAAAAATTATAACAAAAGGTGATGAAAATAGAGGATTATTTTCATTTTATGTTGTTTTTAGGCCTCCGTGCAAGCAATAGTTAGGGCAAGAGACCCATTCCATTAAAAAAAAAAAACCCCAAAAAAACAGTGAGTGTCTCCAAAATGATCCCCTCAGAATCACAATGCCTTTAGTACAAGAACATGCAAAGCACATGAAAGTTTATAATTCTTGCAAGTCTCACAGTCTAAAGCCAAATTCCCATTTATGCTCAGCATGACTTTGCTATCGCTACCAAATTTGAGCATTTATATCATGGATACACTTGAGCTTCAAAAACAAAACTCCATCATTAATATCTTAGTCATGGAGTATCAAACATTAGAAGTCTAGATGTTTTCTGATAATTCACAAACTTCAAAAGTACTTTTTGGGTAAACTTTAAAGGGTTGTATCACCATGTGGTATATTTAGCTGATCAAAACAAGTTATAGAATATGAAAGGTTTCTCTTTTACCTATATTTTGATATCAGGCTCATCTTCTAGTGGTCATTCCTTAAAATATCCCTTAAAATATATATTTTTTCTGCTTCTGGAACTTAAGAAATTAAAAAAAATCACAATTTTAAAAATGTCAAATTTTAAACTATCACCATGTAATTTAAAGGTCTGTGACTCTGAAAATATTCAGTATTCAACTATGACTCATGGAAGTCGTGACTGGAGTTTTGTCAAACAAGATTAAAAAACTCAAACATACAGCCATGGATGTAAACTGCAGCTTGACTCTTTTGGCAAAGACACAGAGCATACTGTATGTATACTTGCACTTATAATTCACATTGCACAGTCAAACAATTTAAGTGTGCTGGAAGTGGGTTACTCTTTACTTTTTTTCTTTATCTTGACGGGTGCTGTTATCACAGTTCACCTTTTTATATGAAGGGATGTTATACCATCTGACAAAGTTGAGAAAATACATCTAATTTATTATTTCCAGCTATTGCTCAGACAAAACGTATTCTTGTATGAGTTACCACCTGAAATCTATTTGAGAATATTGTGTCCCAGTGATTGCTGATAAACTGTGTAGTAAGAAAGAAAGGATTGTGTGGGCGGCTCTGCCTTTTTATGAAAAATGATCCAGTGCTAGAAGGTTATCTTCTACAGACTGACCCTGAGGTCAGCACAAAATGAACCTCTAGACTCGCAAAAAAGATGCACAGCTTTTCCACTACAGAGCAGCACACCTTTCTTGCAGTGTGTTCGAAATAAGATCAAAGCTGCCATTCACTCATCTTGAAGCTAAATCCAACATCACAAATGATCAAAGCGGGAGAAGATATGGACAGAATCGATACTTTGTGGTGGCTGAATAAGAGTAAATAAGGGTTTGCATGACCCTTGACAGCTCTGATAATGTTCAAGATGGAGAAATAGATACATTAAGTGATCAATGCATCAACACATCTCTATGCTTGTGTGTTGATCGCAATAAAAATGTCATCTGCCACGCATGTTAGCTCTTGTTCTGCAGCAGCTTTGACATTAATAATGAATACCTGTATTGTTGCCTACATTTAAAAATAACAATAACAAAACATAAATAAATAAAAACAATAATAACTTTTCTTAATTGCTTACTCAAAGTGGGTCATGTTGGGGCGGTGTCTGTTGCAGGTGACATACTAGTACACATGTCTTTGGAAAAACTAATTGAATATCAAGTGCAAAAACTGTCACTTTTCTAAAATGTTTGGTCTGCTGTCATGAAAAGCAGTCTGACATCCACAGGAAAGCGTTAAGAAGGATATATGAATGATTAGTACCACAAAAAATGCACGCATGTTACGACTGATAAGGAATGTTGTTTTAAAATTATTTCTTAATTAGAACGCTCTTAAATCAGATTTACAGCACACAGAATTTACTAGAATTGAACAACTACCTATCTAAAAAATACAGACACAATATAAATAATTCCAAGGGAAACACTGAGTCATAAGAAGAAGACAGTGACATTGGCTTGTTCAAAAAATGTAAAAAGAAAAGAACAAAATGACCTAGTGAAATTTTTGAATTTATGAAGATGTGTGAGGATGGTACTGAGACTGTGCCTTCCTTACCTCTTCCAAATTCACTTTCTAAATAATTCATTGTTGTCTTCAGCTGTTCTTTCCTGGTTGTTCCCCAGAGTTGCGAGAAACAACGCAGCCATCAGTCTGCATGTGCAGCTTCAGTATGTGCTGGGGTGTTAACGTTCTGCCTTCTATTCTTTCTCACACGTGGTGCCATACTTGGGGAATTACATTTGTCCAGCATAGCATTTTGCTGTGCCCTTCCTTTTCCATTGTGGTGCCAAGTTGAAGTGAGCGCGGAGGGAGGCCAGGGCGGTTCTCTGTGAGAAGCTGCTGTTTGATGTGCCATCCGTGGCCTCAAGCCATGAAGTAGAGGGGGAAGTTATGCACAACAACCAGGGTCAGAATCTGCTCTACTTCATAACTACGAGTGCTTGTGTTTCACCCTTGTGCTCGCTTTCGTGGTGACAAAAACATGTTGGTTGTTGTTTGTTCTTATTATTAAGATGCAATCATTTAACGATTAAAGGTTTGGTTTGTGTTGAAGTATATTATGTAGAGATCGGAAATGGCTCTCACGGGTGCCTTTAGAAGAACAATTAATATACCCCACATGGCCCTAATCATCACTTGGTCAGTGTGGGATTAATAATAATAATGGATTGGATTTATATAGCGCTTTTCAAGGCACCCAAAGCGCTTTACAATACCACTATTCATTCACTCTCACATTCATACACTGGTGGAGGCACTGAGGTGACCTAAATCACAAATAGCTTGATAGTATTACTTTTAAAAGGACCTATCATCTTGTGTCTTGAACTTTTCACATGTACATGCATGTCAGCTTTGGGTAGATAGGGCCGTTCACGATCATGTCTATAACTGTGGACCCTAGAAAACCTTTATACAAACTTGTCACTTCAGAACAAGAAACTTGTCTTGAAGGGTCTATCATATCACTGTTTTTTGTGCAGATGGACCTGACAGTTAAACAAGCTCTTGCTGTGGGGAGAGACAAGTCACTTGTGTCCCAGTTTGTTCTGTTGCAGTTGTCATCATTCTGCTGTGCGCAAGCGGAGAAAGGAAATAAGCTAAAACTATCAGGATAAACCCGCTCCTGTACTTCAAGCAGCAGAGATCAAACTCTTCCTTTCCTTCAGCTGCTGTAGCGAGTCCAAAGCAGTCTCATTCATTACGAGGCCTTTGATGTTGCTGTCATATTAGCCCATCGTTCTTCTTGCAGTAGCTCCCAGGGGAAGTGTAAAATGATCAATAAAATTCATAAGCAACATATATAAGAGGATAAAACATATTAAATACATAAGGGGCTAATCGAAAGAAGGCACAGTGAAAGACCCCTTCGGTGCTGAAACCCACACACAGTTCTACTTGGTTTGAAATTGCCTTGGGATGAAATCAATTTGTCGCTAGTATATTGTAGCATTGCACTTATTGATTTTTCTGGTGCACTCACCGCGAGCTGTGAATGGACTCTCTGGATTTGAGGGGACTGGAGGATGGGGTGGAGGACGTCTCTGGCTGAGCAGGGATAGGACTCCCTCTGATGCACCTTTCAATCAAGCTTAGCTAAGTTATCCTCATGAATATGAAATATAAGGCACAGTCAAGCCGGGGAAAGTTAAGGATAGTGTGTGTGCACGGGGGTGTATAGAATAAGAAATATAGGCACTAAGTGCAGAAAGTTTAGTTTTGTTGTTTGACATTTCTTCCTCTGGAACAAATAACTGTCCCGGCCGTTATAAGACTATTCATTTTTAGGCATTTTGGGTGTTCAAGTGAGCTCTCTGATAGCTACAAGGAAAAGCTTTAAATAAGTCATTCTTTTTACTTCTCCCTATGTCCAAGCAAGAAAAAAGGTTAAATACAGCTGGCTTCTGACATTTTCAAAGTTCCCTATCCATATTTTGATGCATAATGACCCGCACTGTCCTCCTTCTTGCTACGGCAAACATTTTCACCACTTCTGTCTGGATTCACATGAACCCTGGGTAGCCTCTGTGCTTTCACATGGTAATTACAGCCTGCTTCCCTGGCAAAATAATAACAGCCTCAATAAGGAGCACAACACAGATGAGCTTTCTGATTTTGCCACCCCCTCCCCCCCTCCATTTTCCTCATTTCATTTCTTTCAGATTTGTTTTGTGTTGTTGATTCATTTTTCTAACCACCCTACGCCTGCACTGCGTCTGTCCAAAATGAAGCATCCAATCTGAGGCCCCATCTGCTGAATGATCCTCTCTCATCGCATGCATGTACACAAGCCTGTGTTTTACGCCAAGGCGTTAACCACTCCTTCATGGCCCATCTGCTCTCTCTTTGTCTATCCCATTTTTTGTCTTTCTTCCATCTCTTTATCCCTGTCTTTGGCTCTCTGTTGGTCATCATATTTTAGTTGGCTGTCTTGATTTGTCACACTGATGCCTTTCACACAAACACATGCATGCTTGTACCAATCTGTACTGTATGCAAAAGTCTCTTGCGCACTTGAGTCTGACTCTGTTCTCCAAAGGCTACTGCAGTTGTTGAGTGTGGAAATCGACCACGAACATACAATATCATCTGCTCCGTGTGTCCTTCTTAGTGTTATGTGACAGTGATACACAGGGGAAGAAGGAAAAGGATGGAATGGGGCACGTTGACGGGAATGATTTGAGTTAATGTGTTTCCCCAGACAAGGAACTGGTAAATGGGGGGCATAAAATTGGTGCCTTTTTCTGATCCCCAAGATTTTCGTTCGCCGTCTAACTACTAGTAGACGAAAGAGAAATTCTGCCACGGGAGCCAGAGAAGATTGGTCCAGTGCACATCACAAGAATTCAGCCAAGCCTCTTGCCTGGGAGCCCACATACCTCAGGTCTCCTTCAATTGTGTGTCTAATTGATTACTTCCCATGCAATTACTCCTGTGTCACACTCAATATTTCACCACTGCAGGAAGGGGGCAAGATGGGGCGTCTTTTTGAAGGACGACATTCATATTGTCACATTTGTGAGCCTCTAATGTGGATTGTGGGGAAGCACATGTTAAACTTAAGCCCGAAACAAGCCATGAGTAGTAACTGATATCAAGTGATTGCAGTGTAATGTGGCTTAGAGAGAGAGAGAAATTACCAAAGCAATTTGTTTTTATGCCACAGGTCAGCAAAGCTGAATTCCTCAAAAAGTTTATTTTTGTGTTTCTTTTTTTTAATGTCTTCATTTAATATAAAGGGTTTTTCACATTTTTAATTTAAAAAAAACGTAAAATATTTTTGTCATTTTTAATTTCTCATTTTTTACAGTTTGGAGTCCTTTAATTAAATGACTTCATATTATTCTTACTTTCCCTTAAATTAACTTATTTTAGCTTTAACATTTTACCCGATTATATTTTTTCCAGGGCCATCTGGATCTGTCACTCACAGCTTGGTCTAAAGGGTGCATGGATATTTCTCTTTTTTATGCTTTTGTTATTTGTTCTGTTCTTCAGTCTTTAATAATGCGATGCCTGAGATTTCATAAGCAGAAAATAAATGTGCTTTATGAAATATTAATGGACAACAATAGCAAAACCTGCCATGAGAAAGGAAAGATAATAATACAAAATGGAGCATCTCCAATTAAAAATGTGTACGTCTCTCTCTGTGTGTGCTGCATTTGGCAAAGAACTGAAATGATGGACTGTGTTGTCTAAATGTTTTAACAGAGTTCATGCTCCCTTAAATATGTTTAGACTGCAAAGTTTAACTCAAACAGCAGTGACCATTATTATCCCACCTTAGGTTTATTGCATTTTACTTCCCCTTAATCTTTAAAGCCTTAAACTATTCTCTTACCTGCCTGCAAGGAATATAGAAATGTACAAATATTTTGTATAAAAAGCTTTTACAAATCATGAATACAATGAAGAGGAAAATGAAAGTAATAATAACATAATATAGTCAGTAATGTGCAAAAGTCGTTCATATATATATATA